GATTACATTGTTATTGAGTAGATATCTAACAATCAGTCCATTAATGTGTAAGAATGTATGTTTATGGATTACATTGTTATTGAGTAGATATCTAATAATCAGTCCATTAATGTGTAAGAATGTATGTTTATGGATTACATTGTTATTGAGTAGATATCTAATAATCAGTCCATTAATGTGTAAGGATATCTAGGAATAATCTTTTCACTAATTAAGATCATCATCAATCTTTATTGCCATATTAAAGATTAAGTTATCTGGTTTTTGCAGTATGGGCTGTATATGGTTAGATGCATCCTCTACATACAGGACCAGCATCTTATGGACTCACCACACCAACAGCGGACTGTATTTAACTTTCTAGAGCACTGTGTTATTTCCTTGTCAGATTAGCCTTGTTCAGTGTTACACGTGTGTGTTGTTAGTTGCGAACTTATCTGACTCAGTGATCCTGTACCAGGGTTCGATCTAGTCCTTTACATCCTAGGGATGTTAGAAAAGGTTACATTTTATAGCTCTCACCAAGAGTTTGATTGTTAAACCTATTTCTGTGTTACTTTTTAGAAAGCATGTGATTAGATGAGAAAATGTTAACCTTAGATGTTAAAGATGCTTTTAATATATGTGCTTGTTTATATTTACAAGTGACCTGTTTCTGAGTTACAAATGCTTGTTACTTGTATAACATCTGCAGTCTGTAAAGAAGGACTCCAATATTTAACGTATTTATACCATGTACCTCGAACTACATAACTTGATTAATGCTTACATAATTTTGGGTTGTTTTATTCACTGTAAGTGACCTAGTTCCATTATTAACACCAATACTCAGGGTTGTAATTTATACGTCATATTTAAGAATACTTTCTTGTAAATGGAACAGAATTATCAGTATTTTTTCCTTCAATTTTTAAAATATATATTCAAGCTCCAGGGTTTTTCAGCTCCGATGTGTCGTAAGAAAGTTAATTTTAAGTAACATATATATATTGAATCTAAAAGAACGAAAAAGACAGAGCAGCAGAGAATTCATTACTAAATTTTTTACCACTTTTAACGTTTGTACTTTAAAATATAGAATATTAGTGATGATAACGTGAATAATACCAAAGCTGACAAAGCTCGAAATTCATTATTTAAATTATTTGAGCTTTATCACTCCATTTTAGGATTATTCTGTTGTAGACTGGGCCTAATAGTCTTAGTTAAAACACTCTTTAAAGCAAATGTTAAAACAGTTAATGTTTAGAGAGTTTTCATTATGATGTTTATAAAATGTTGCTATATTTTTCTTTCAGCATTTTGTAAAATTGTCAAAATGCTTGTAGTATAGCAGCCTTCACAGTCACTGAACCCTAGTGGCCTATTTTACAAATCTCACAACAGCAACTATTTTTATATATATCAGAACTGTGGAATCAGGTTAAGGTATTTTGATACTCTAATATTTTGTAGATTGCTAAACTTTATTAGTGGCTATACAAATAAGAGTTCTCTCTGGTATTGTCTGGTAATCAAAAATACTTTTCTGTAGCATTTGTTTTCATTAATCTGTCATAAATCAATAACTTAAGATATAGCAGTTAGTAAATTTCATGAAAACATGTTTCATTGTAGAATTTTAAAAGTCAAAGGAAAAAATTAAAACCTGATCTACACCCCATTTTACCTCGTATAGGAATGGACGGTTAATCGTTAAAGTTGCTTCTATAATGAAAGATACAGTTTTCATTACAACTTAAGCAAACACTTACTAATCTTTAAATTTTATATTTATAATTTTCAGTTGAAAAACTAAAAATTAACAATATTTGTACATATATCTTATTTTGTAAGGAAGCTGTGTTTTTTCAGTCTTGAAAACTAAATTATTTCTTGTTTGTGACATTCACATTTTTTTCCTGCTAATACAAAGTTCGTTTAGTTGTACACGTGTTTGTTTACCAGATCAAGGCTAATAAATACTCATTATTAATGAAATGGGTGTTACATAATAAATTGTATCTCAATATGCTTTTTTCAGTAATGAAATTGTACAAAGTGTTTAGCATTTCTGAGTTCTCTTTTGCTGGATGTTTCCCGTTACATTTACTTTCTCAGTCACCTCTGTGTACTTTATTAAAACTCTCATGTCTCTAAGTTAAAGTTAAAGTAATATTAACAGCCAGTGTGAATTTGATTAAGTCTTTTATTTGTTGTTAGATATATTATTTCTACTTAGATAAGTCGACCACTAGTGGGTCAACGGTAAGTTTATTAACCTACAATGCTAATTTTGGGTTTAATTCCCCACTGTGGACAGAGTGCAGATAGCAGCAACAGATTAAATGATTTAATGGAATTTAAAACTTAATAGTTGAAGTATTTTAAGTAAATCAAACTTTTTACTTCCTTAGTAATTCAACTTTTTTCATTTAACTGTTGATTCATATAATTTTACTCAGCTAATTTACTGTTTAATTTGATAAAATTTAAGTTAAACACTATAAATAGTTGAGTAATTTTTTAAGATAAATCAAACTTTTTCTTTCATTGAAGATTCAATTTTTTGTTATTTATCTATGATACATATAACTTTAATTAGGTTAGATTTGATCTCAAAAAAAGTGTGATAGATAAGGTTTAATGGAAGAGTTTAATACTAGTCACAATGCTAAATTTGTTTCTATATTTTTTACAAATATTTATTTTTTTACTTGTATGTTTTTACAATTACGTTTTTTCGGGTTCAATTGTATTCATTTGTGAGTAAGGTTTGAAATACTAAGAGCTTATTAGAATTGTTAAAAACAAAAATACAAAACTAACCTGTACACTTTCTAAAGGTGGATCTTCCTTCAACATTATTAGAATTGTTTGTATTAGATTATTACGTATTTGAAAGTTTTAACAAAATTCTCATTTCTTTATTATCTAAAAAAAAACTAATTTAAAAAAATTGTGTACAGATTGAGTGTAGTTTATAGCATTCTTAAATGTTAATGTATAACTTTGGTCTTTTTTAATTTTACTTTAACTGAGCATTTACATATTTTATTATATGATTCACAGATGTCAACGATTTTAAGTTTGTTAGAATAATTCTGGTTTTTAACTCCAGGTTATACCATTGTAATAATATTCTATGATTCACAGATGTCAACCATTTCAATTTTGTTAGAATAATTCTGGTTTTTAACTCCAGGTTATACCATTGTAATAATATTCTATGATTCACAAAGATGTCAACCATTTCAATTTTGTTAGAATAATTCTGGTTTTTAACTCCAGGTTATACCATTGTAATAATATTCTATGATTCACAGATGTTAACCATTTCAATTTTGTTAGAATAATTCTGGTTTTTAACTCCAGGTTATACCATTGTAATAATATTCTATGATTCACAGATGTCAACCATTTTAAGTTTGTTAGAATAATTCTGGTTTTTAACTCCAGGTTATACCATTGTAATAATATTCTATGATTCATAGATGTTAACCATTTCAATTTTGTTAGAATAATTCTGGTTTTTAACTCCAGGTTCTACCATTGTAATAATATTATATGATTCACAGATGTCAACCATTTTAAGTTTGTTAGAATAATTCTGGTTTTTAACTCCAGGTTATACCATTGCGATAATAGCCTTTAAATTCTGATGTTTATATATCTTGGGGGTTTGGTATAACATTCTGGGGTGAAATGAAAGAACACTGTTTAGGTCTTGGTCATTTAAACGTTTTCACTTAAACCAGAATAAAATATTAGCCAATCAGAAATGATATTGATATTTAACCCATTCTTTAAATTTGACAGCCATGTCAGAAACATGTCGAAACAAACCATCTAGCCAAGAATGAGGAAATATATTGGAATGTCATCCTCACAACAAAGAAATAGACAAAAAAAAAGTCTACTTTTTAGACAATGCCAATACAAATCTTGTTAAGTACTGCCACATGGCTGTGTGATAAATCAGGCCAAAATCAGTAAGAAAATTAATGTAAAAACTAAATAATTCCTATTTTTCTGCTCAGATTTTGATTTTATTTTAGGCTTGTATTCCTATTTTATATCATAATGGTCGGTATCTGTGCTTTGGTTAAAATTTATTTCAAGACAGTAAATCAAGAAAATCCATAAACTGTTGACCTTGCATTAGAAAATGAAAGAGGAATATTTGAGAAATGAGATTTTTAAAAAGCGTTTAACTTTATAAAATTACAGCACAGTTAGTCATAAGTTGTGTAGGTTTAGATACTTCATTGTAATCTTTATCTTAAAGATATGAGTATAAAAAGTTACAGATGTGTTATTAGGCTCTCTCTGTAATGTAAATGGTCTGTAGAGATTCATATAAATATGTATGAATATATTTATATATTATACATATATGAATAATTGTGAATGTAACCTTTATGTGATATACCAGTACTTCTTGACTGCAATGTGATGTAACTAACATGTTAAAATGTGTGAATATAATAAAGTTATACTAACACAGTTTTGATCTTTGTCTGCTTTAATAGGTTTAAATGTCACTGGTTCATGTAATCACTTACAAGCATATGTACCCCCATATTAACTGCCACTCATGTAAGGTTCTAACTGTTCAACTTATTACTGATTTCTGCTAACACCTGTTTTATGTAACACTACTAGCTTAATAACAACTAACTAGATATAGACCAGTCCCTTGGTCTTGAATCAAGACAAATAAATAAACTTGGATGTAAACCAATCTTTTTTCTTTTACTCAACAGTGAAATTTATAATTATTGTACTGGTGATCCGGACCAAAACTATTATTTATTTATACCTTAGTTACTTAGGGGTGATCCGGACCAAAACTATTATTTATTTTTACCTTAGCTACATAGGGGTGATCCGGACCAAAACTATTATTTATTTATACCTTAGTTACTTAGGGGTGATCCGGACCAAAACTATTATTTATTTTTACTTTAGCTACTTAGGGGTGATCCGGACCAAGACTATTATATATTTATACCTTAGTTACTTAGGGGTGATCTGGACCAAAACTATTATTTATTTTTACTTTAGTTACTTAGGGGTGATCCAGACCAAAACTATTATTTATTTATACCTTAGTTACTTAGGGGTGATCCAAACTAAAACTATTATTTATTTATACCTTAGTTAGTTAGGGGTGATCCAAACCAAAACTATTTTATATTTTTACTTTAGCTACATAGGGGTGATTCAGATCAACAGTATTATTTATCTCTATTTTAGCTACGTGGGGTGATCCAAACCAAGAATGTTATCACTAAGCATGGTAGTGCTTAGTATGTAGGGATGAGCCGAGAATGAAAATGGCTGCCACATTCAATCTATTACTCTATGATGTTTACAGATAACTGCTAAAGTTGAGTTATAGCCTTATTTGAGCACATAATTGCCATTATCAAGTGTTTCACAGCTTGTATAACAGTAGTATTATTCTGTTCTTCTACCACACGTTTTTTCATGAGAATATAATAAAAAGAAAAACTACTACTTAGTGAGTTCAGTTTACAAGTATATATTATTTCCATGTTTCATAAATAACAGTTTCATTTCTGGTCACTAGATGGCAGTACAAATGTTCTTATATAACAACCGTTTGTGACCTGTTCATTCACGATTATGATATCTGATGAAACAATTTCAGTAAAAATAAATAAAGAAAGAAAGAATAATCTAAATTAATATTTAAGGTATCAAGTATTTATACAACTGACAGATCTGTGTACTTATCAGTATACTTTTTCTCAAACTTTAAGTGGGATCAAGCCTGGCAGCTGTGTGTGTATATGCTTGGTATCATAATTCATGGCCTGGGATCTGTATGATGTCCTCCCTATTAGTCAACATGAGGTAGAGTCAATTGTATGCATATGCAGTGAGATGGGGTGAAGTTGGAAGGTATGGGTTCTGTAAATATCCCCTTAATGTTGGTCCAGCACTCAGGTATTT